TTTGTTTTTTTCTCTCTGTCTGTTGGTACAAACAAACACAGTAGTAGTCTCTCCTTTGATTTGGCTCTGTGTCTGTGGACAGCCTGTGTTCGGCTCCAGCCTGTCTTGGTGTGGAGCCAGAGGGTGAAGAAGGCAGCGCGACTATGATTGTGACTATGATAAGAAAGCATTCCCTCTGCTGAGCACACACACGCAGTCAAAGGACACAGCATTATTTCATCAGACAGGGGTCACCGTGTCTTCAGTTTAGTTTACACTGCCAGCTCCAATTTAGTTTTCTCATAGCAACTATACATCTGATCCTGTCACCAAGGCGACACCGATCTGACCTGCTCACTGTCTAAATATATGCACCACTACACAGTTAAGTTTCCCTTCAACGTCAAGTCCTAGAGGAAGCAGAAATGTCTGTATTTGGCCACTTGAGGCAGTGTGTCTACAGTAACAGAGCTGACACTTTGGGCACTTGTAGCTAGATACTTTACATGTAGCTAAGTGAACAGTTAAAGTACACCACTAGGTGAAACTGCCAACATTCAACAACCTGCAATGTCCTCAATTTTTCACTTGAAGCAGTTTTTAAGATATGAACCACCTTTTTTTTAATGCAAAAAACAAACAGCAATCTTGCTTGAGTCTAATGGCAAAAAAGAGCAGCTTTGCGGTGGCGAGACTAATGGAAAGCTGATGGAGCGACGCCACACCCAGCAACTTCATGCCCTCTGAGCGTTTTATTGATCTGTTTATGAGGGCATCAATTTTACATGAAGAAAAGGATGGGCTGGAGAATGTCACCTTTAACTACATTAAAAATGTTTATTGCTACCAACGTGCAACATTTCATCACACTAAAATAATGGAGAAATAGACCTATGTTATTTGAGTTACAAGGCTGTTATTGTTCTGCTCCGTGAATCACTGTTAGATTACTGGTACATTTGTTGCCAAATGGAAGTGAATGAAAATGTTCACAGTACCATAAAACATCTCCCAGCTATCTCGATAGGTTAACAATGGGTGATTTAATCAAAGAAATCATGATTACAATTCAGTAGAGCAGTGTATATATTCACGCACCACAGTAGTAAGAAATGCATATGGGCACAGAATATTAACAACACCGGATCACTCTCTTGAGGTTTCTGCACTCGACCAAAAATTCTTGTGTTCTGAAGGGAACAAAGGTTTTTTTATGTCTCTGCAATGAATGGTTTTCCTGATAACTTCATGTTGCTGCAGTACACAGACAGACTGCTGTACAATAATTCCCTGATGAGCTGTGGGCTGGGAGAGGAAAGAGGAAGAGAGGAGCTGATGCGTTTCCTCTGGACACACACTGTTTGGTGGTGTTGGTGATTTGTCATGCAACTGTGCACACACACACACATACTCACAAACACTGTTAAGCACTGGTGCTGATGGTAATTTGATATGTAATATGCCCCATGCCTGGGCCACAGCAGCACAATAGTGAGGCCAAGTCTCCAGTGGCCGATGTGTTTACTGTCCACACAGCCTCGGTTCTCCAGCCTGTCCTCATTCTGTCACATGTCCTTTGTCTTTCATAAGTATTCATCACACTTTCCATCATGTCTTCTGTTTTTTATTTTAAAAATATGTTGCTATATTGAGACTCAATAATCAGCTATCTTTCTTGGCCCTGATTGGTTGTTTTTGTTCAGGCGCTGTGGATTCTTGCAAATATCATTAGGAGGACTAGGACAAACCAGAAGAACCTGATTTTTCTGTCTCATGTACTACTGTCGGGATAAAGTGAAAGCCAATTAGTGATATTTGTCATCTTGGGTCTGATCTCGTCACTCCCTGCAAAGAAGCACCAAACTCAACACAGCATGTACTCGGGAGTAAAGATAATACCTTTCCCCCCAAACATGGACTCAACAGGCTGTTGAAATGAACATGGGCATTTAGAAAACTATATGAAAAGGAGCAGCAGTGGAGCCGGCAGTAGAAGTGAGAGCTTTCAGGTGAGCGCTGTAGCAGCCAAAGAGTTAACAATGCACTGACGGCTTAAGTGCTCCTCCATAATCATGAGGGTGCTTTGGATACATGTATGCAGTAAGAAGAGTGTGTCACGTGAGAGTCACAGCAGACTCAAGTTGAACTAGTTCGCAGGCTTTGCTGTTTTAATGAAACCTTAATCCATTTTTATCAGCTGTATATTTGCTTTTGTTGTTGTAATCTCATGGGAGTGATGTAATAGCCAGTCTCAGTGGCTTAAGCTGGAGTGAGAGACTGAAAAAAGAAATGAAATGAGTTCCTATTAAAATGTCACTAGCACAGGCATCCTGGTTTCTCACACGGTAGAGCTGCAGCCCCCTGTACCAAGGCTGACTCCTTGCTGCTGCTGCCAGGGGGTGCAAGTCCAACCTATGGCGCTTTGCTGCGTGTGATCCCCTCTCTCTCCCTCTTTCCTGTCTATCATGAGCTGTCCTGTTCAATAAGAAAAGCCAAACCCCCCCCAAAAATACAAAAAAACAATCCTCTGACCAAGCACAGCACAGCAGCAAGTGGTTGCTCTGCACAAACTATGAGTAAACATACATTAGTGCTGTCCAGCCCACAAATTGCTGAGTTCATTTAGAGTGCTGGACGCTGAAGCTGTCTTCAGAGAAGACGACTGCCAGTCACAGAATTCAGATGTCCACGTGGTTTGGAGGATATGTGAGTGGAGACAGCACTGATGGATGCCTGGGGCTGGATCCAGGCTAAGTCTGTGCAGTCAATCAGCACAACCATTCTGTCAGGCTCAAAGGGTAAAATACCTTTTAAAATCCAAAATTGGGCCGCTGGGAGTTCAAGTTTAATATTCACTTGTAGCATAATAAAGAAAAAGTTATTTTGATCAATTCTAATCACATACAGGCAATATGTGGGGATTATCTGTAAAGCGTTGTTAAAAAAACAACAACAATGCATTTTGGCACAAGAATAAACTCAGAATAAACCAAATCCAACCATATTACTGCTATTCCTTTGTAAGATGATATTGTCTTCCCAGACAAAAGCCTACTATTTAGAAAGCTATAATTAAGATCCTCACTGTTTGAGTTTGCACACAATTTGCAATGTGTTTTATTTCTGTGATGGTACTGAAACACCACTCTACCTGTCTAGTAACACCACCATGGCTTCGCAGTGATGAGATTTTCCAGTATCTTGCTGGAAAAAACAAGCAGAGCGGATATAGGCCGATGACAAATAGACTCTACCGTACAGTGCAGAACAGATCAGCAGGATGATTTTGCGCACACGGAGGCAGACATTGCTGTAGACAGGAAGACGGGCTTTGGCAGAGAGGGGGTCCGCAAACAGTTATCAAGACAAGAAGCGGCATGACTGTGTTTGTAGATATATTCAATACAGGCAGACAGGTAAATGTAGTAAACAGCGGGCTTAAAGAAACAGACGGGCTCTCAGACGATTTGCGGTGGCTCTTGTTGACAGTCGTAGAGCACACCTGCTTGTCAGGCCACACCTTGTCTGGCACTGTTTACCCTTAGCAGCCTACCTACTGTGTTACACCCTCGTGCCACTCTTTCTGCACTGTTCATTTGACTGTGGAAAACTATTAGAGACATATTTCATATTTTAGAAATGTGACCTCAGTGTCAACTAATAATCATACTTTTGATCACTTAAAACGATCAAAAGTTACTTCAATAAAGGTTGCTTTATTGGAACTACTTATATAGGCCACTGACTTTGATAGCAGAGGAAAAACATTTTAGAATTTGACATGACCAGTGATGAGACATTTTTGCGGTCGGAAATAACTCTTCAAAGCATCCTTTGAACTTGACTGTCAAACACTGTTTATACAGTAACAGTTTGTTAAAATGTCAAATACACTTTTCCAAAGTCTAATGCGGAGAGCTGTGCACGGGTATGGAAATGGTATTACAAGCATGTGGTTTGGTCAGACAGGTGCAAGGCAGGCGGGCAGAGAGCAGCAGCAACAACACGGTAGAGCAGTCTTCTGTAAAAGCTCTGCCACAACCCCTAACCTCCGTTTCCAAGCACACGTACCTCCAGACACACAGCACTCCAACCCCACATGTCCAGTGTGTATGATACCCTGTAGGCCTGGAAATATAATAAGAGGGGACACATAAACCACCATTACAGACTAAATGTGTCATATAGCAGTATTACACACACTAAAGCACACAAGCATTACTTGGTACACACACACACATAGAATCAAGTAATTAATCCAGGAAATTAAAATGTGATATCGCCATTATTATAAACCACTTTTGCCCAAATTTAAATCTATGAATATTCTAATTGCTGCCTTTGGGCCTTTTTTGTGTGTGTGTGTGTGTGGGGGGGGTTGCAGTTGAACATGGTTTTACCTCCCTGCTTTACTTACTGATAGTAACGAACAAACGCAGGACTTTTAATAACTGAAGCCTGCTTTATTACCCAGGGTTGCATCATTTTCCAGGATGAGAAAATGAAGAGCGATTGTGGCCATTCATTCATTCGTCATCCGGGCTGGAAAAAAACTGCCGTTACCCCCTCTCTTAACTGCGTCTGTGTAAGGTGACTGAAACAGTGTGCGCAGGTCGGCTTCATAGTTGTTGTCACCCACTTTGCCCCCCCCCCACCCTTCAGACTTTAATATGATTATTCAAATAAAGTGAGTGACGCGCAGGCTGCTGGTACATTAAAGTGTGTTACAGTTCGGTGTTACGTGCCCAGCTCCGCTCAGCTGAACGCGCTGAAGCCTCTCTATCTGCTGGCTCTTGCTTTTTTTTTTTGCATTGTGTGGGTAGGAGGAGCCGCTTTCCTGTGATTGTCTGGCTGCTCTCTCTCTCTCTCTCTCTCTCTCTCTCTCTCTCTCCCTCTCTCATTTTTCCCAAAGTTG